CAGCAATTGTATAGTATGCAATAATAGCACTGCAGAAACCCAGGATCACTTGGCAGAATGTTCTTATTACAAGACAAAATAGCAACATATCGAAAACTCAGTAATCGATCTAGTATGGTCCAAATTCACGAAAGAAGGAAAATATCTTTGCTTAAAAAGACTTCTTCATGAGATTTTAATTGGGTTACAGAAGTAGATAAGATTGAAAAAAAAAAATTGTGGATTAAGGGCTTATCTACTATTGACTCGTTTGACAAAATCAAGAATTTCTTAAATTCAACAAAAACAACCGCAAATTCAATAGAACTTACCACACATATGATCTGGAATAGTTTTTATGACTTTGTATGAAAAGACAGATGCATTAAAGTCAATAAATGGGAAAAAGAACAAAACATAAAGAAGAAGAACAAGAGAAAATCAACTGATAAAGAAAATAACACATTGTCCAATTCTAAAAAGAAAAAGAACAAAATTAGAGTTAAAGAAAAGAAAGTATCAGTAAAAGAAAAGAAGGTTAAAAAAGCGTGGGACGACGCTATTTTGAGTTGGATACAAAAGAGTGTAAATCTCTTTTGGACAAGTTCTTAAAAAAAAGCGCTTTTTCTAGCTTATTCATGAGCTAGTGCGATGAGTTGTATCTAGGTACCTTTATAGGCAACCGGGTGAAGCCGGGCTTATATTTAGTCTTAGAAATAAATATATATAAATTGAATGTACTAAAAACTAAGAGGTCAAGTCACGGCAAGACCTGTCAAAGAATAATATATATATATATATATATATATATTAACAATGTAACTATCTTTGCACGGGTTTCACCCTTTTATTTTATAATTACAATAACTATAAAATTATACTAACTATAGTCAACTCTGTCTATTTTAAATGGCTTGCTTTTATATATTTAGTTTGGTCCTCAAAGTAGTATTATATACTAATCTGAACTTTATAATAAAATTTATAAATATCTTAGAGTTTTAGGTTTAGATTAGAGAGAGTTAATTATATACTCAAGTTTTTAAATATAATCTCTCATTATAATAATAACTATAATATTATATATTTTTATATAAACAAATAATAATTTAGATCTTATTTAGTATAGGTGGGGATATATAAATATTATAAGATTATTTAATATAAAAAAACTCTAACCCTAACTAAAAACTATACTATGACCCTCAACCTAACTCTAACTATTCTCAAATCTGTTTAGATTAGTTCAAATAATTATTTTTATATTAAATAATATTATGTTATTTATATATTCCTACCTATACTAAATGTCAACCAATAATTTATCTTTTTGTAATTTTAAATTTAAATTGTACTAAGTCTAGAAATAAAAATATATTTAAATTTTTGTAAATTTAAAATTCTAAAGCTTATTATTTACTTAATTTGTAAAACAAACAAATTTACTTTAATATAATTTATTTTATTAACAACTTACTTTGCTAGTATATTTATTTTAATATTAAAACTAGTTAAAGTAAATACAAATTATTAAAAATTTATATTATAAGATATAAATAACACAAACTGTCTATAAAATGAGCTATCAATAAAATAATTATAAAATAATCTTGTTAGTGAATTAAAGAACTTTTAATAAATTAACAATATAACTATTATTGTAATATTAGCTGATTTGGTACTATATATATAGTCTAGATGCAAAAAAAGTTCTTCAAAAAAATCAATTTTTATGTTGTAAATTTTATAATAATTCATAAAAAAAATACAAACTTTAACAAGCTATATTGCAAAAGTTTATTAATACAACTATAGATGCTACATAAATTGATTTTTGAAAAAGATATATTTCATCTTTATTAGAGCAAATTAAAATTTTTTGAAGTGTATCTAATATATTATATTTATAATCCTTATAATTTTATCTATTCAAAAAAAGTGTCAAAAATCTTATTTTTCTAGTAAAATAGGTACAAATCATTTTTATTTTCAAATTTTAATTTCAGTTTTAGAACCTGAAAGAATTTCATCAGTATGTATAAATACAACTAGTTTTGTGTTTTAAATGAAAAATAATCCCAATCTTATTTTAAGTTGATTTATATAAAAAAAAAACAGCTTATAAAAAATTGTTAATTTCATCTCTTTTCTCAACACCTAGCCTATATGTATATATTTTAGATATAAATGTAGTATCTGGTATAGAAATATTACATATAATAGATGGAATAATGCTGAATTAGTGCTTCAGTTAGCCAATTAGATTTCTTTGATTATAATAAGCATATCATAGTGTAAATTATTTATAATACAGCATTATAATCAAGATATTTGCTATGTCTAGGGTTGTTAAAACTTATCTGACAACATAAGCTATACTGTAATTTATGGACCTTATATAAGTTACAATATAGGCCAAATTATGTGACAATTTTTAATAGAATTAACATCAACTTGACCCAGCCTTATCTCAATAGCTAAACAAGCCTTACAAGAATGTTATTAAATATAGCCTAAATTGCAAACTTCATAAATATATCTCTAGGAGTTATTTTTAGCATATATAATTTACATCATAAATTACAATAAAATTTAATCAGTAAATTACATATAACTTACATGTAAGCTAACAACCCCTACACAGGTCAAAATAAGGCAAATTGGGTTCAAATTGGCATTACAAAATCCTGATATGAACCCGATATGAAACAGATATTTGGTGTAAATAGAGTACCTATAGGATACAATTCAGATTGATATCAGCATACAAGACATATTGGCAAAACAATAGCTCAATAGGCAAATCGATAGAGCTATAAGTTAAGCTCTATCGATTTATCTATTGAGCTATCATTTTGCCAATATGTCTTGTATACTAATATCAATCTAGATTGTATTCTATAGATGCCCTATTTACGCCAAATATCTGTTTCATATCGGGTTCATATCAGGATTTTGTGATGCAAATTTGAACCTAATTTGCCTTATTTCGACCTGTGCTAGTTGTATCCAAAAGTGAAGGAAAAATTGTATTTTAGTTTTTCCATGCTCACATGTATTCGAAATTCATGCAAGTGATCTGAAATGATCAAGTTTGAAAATTACCAGTAAAAGCTGCTGCATTTTGACGATCAACTCATTTATAGATTTATTTTGCTGCACTTCTTGATACATATTATTCCAGAACTCTGGAAACTTATAATTGATGTTCCCGGCAAAATTAAGATAATTTTATCACTTTTTTACCTAGCTTATTGTCTATTGATTTTATCTATTCACTAATAGAAACCTTTTTTTTTTATATAATAGTTTTTACCCTTTCTATTAGCTGGTATCATTTCTAATAAGAGGTTTCAGAATTAAACTTCATAAATCTTATTTTGATTATTTATATTAATCGATACTTGCTTCTAATACCATTTTTTTTACATCGACAACATCAAATTAAACAAATAATCTTTTAAAAACACTTATGAAAGAATACTCAACTAGCACGAATAAGGTCATTACTAAAGTTTTGAATAAGGAAATTAACAAACTATTCGAATTAATACAAGCCATAGAACTGGATCAATATTTTACTATATGTAAAAGAACAATTAAATCTAACAATTTTTTTCAAGTAAGCTATATAAAAAAAATATAGCCAAAAGTTTGATAAATTATAAAAAAATACTCTAAGCAAAAGTTCAGTAAATAATATAAAAAAATAATTTGAGCGAAGGTTTGGTAAATTATAGGTTCAGTAAAAATTTGAGTAAAGTTCAATAAGTTACTTGAGTGAAAGTTTAGTAAATAATTTGAGCGAGGGGTTTAGTAAGTTATATAAAAAAATATCTTAAGTGAAAATTCAGTAAATAATTTGAGTGAAGTAATTTGAGCAAAGGTTTGGTAAGCTATATAAAAAAATACTTTAAGTAAAAGTTCAGTAAGTAATTTGAGCAAAGGTTTAATAAATAATTTAAGCGAAAGTTTAGTAAATAATTTGAGCAAAGGTTCAGTAAATTATATAAAAAAATAATTTTAATAAGTAATTTGAGTGAAGGTTCAGTAAGTAATTTGAGCGAAAGTTCAGTAAGTAATTTAAGTGAAAAATTTTATTATTACTTTGAAATTTGTTATTATGATACTCCACTAATGCTTGCTTAAATCTTGCAATTTCTTTTAATAAGAGCTGTTTATCTTCTGGCAATAAGTCTTTTTGCTAAATAAGAGTTTCAAGATTTTGGATCTTTGCTTCTAAATTTTTATCTTTAATCAAAAAAAATACTATTTTTGATTATTATACAAAGGAACTTCTTGTTGGGCTTCAAACTGCTTGTTAAATTTATCTATTTATAACTCCAATTAAGTGACCTTTTTACACTTCCTACAAAATTTTTGGGCTTTGCTAATACTTATTTCTTTTTATATTAAGCCATTCCGGGTAGCAGCAATATTTTCTTTGGCAATATTAATGTTACTGATTTTATTTTCCTCCTAGGAAGATATTAATTCTCAATATCTTTTGCGTAAATTTTGGATTTTCTGTAATTCTATCTCTAGTTCAGCTGCTAGCAACTCTAATCTTTTCTTTTTAGACTTTAATTTCTCTTCTAAAAAGTCCTTTCGACTGTTCCTTAGATTTCTTTAAGGCTTTAATTTTATTGTCTTTTTGTTTTAGTTCACTAACTTTCTAATTTTAATTCAGATAATCGATTACAGCTGTTTTTATTATTCCTGGGACACCTATAAAAAATTAGCTGAAAAAAATTTTTGGCTGGTAATTTTTTCGGATAATAAATTCAATAAAAATTGATATAATACTGTAATATATACATAATTTAAAATCAGGTGGCATATCTCTTGTTGATTTCAAAAAATATGATATTTTCAAACCACTTTTGCTGGCAAATTATTAAAAAAAATTAAAAAGGTCTTTTAACTCAAAAAATTGCAAAACACTTAGGCATTAGCAGGTTTTCTATAAGTTGTGTTCTTTTGTATTTACAAAGATATGGTTGTATTAAAAAATTTCTATCACTTTTAGAAAAACCATATTCTTTAAACATGAATGATATAAATTATCTTCAAAAGAAAAACCTGACTAGTAAATCCAAGATGGAACTTTGGTTGGGACGTAACATTAGTCTTACAACAATTTGGAGGGTTATATACTGACTTGGGTATATGCACAAAAAAGTAATATTTTATATATTTATATTTAATTTTATTTTATAAACTTTTAGCAATTTTATAAAAGGTTCTTTCGTATTAATAGCTTCTGATTCAGGCTCTTTCATGTTAATGATATCCAATTTCACTATTAATTTCTAAATCAGTTGTGTTCACTTCAGACAAGTCAGGTAACTCAAAAGTATTTGTCATGGAAGATAAAGATTCTTTAATTGTTAGATTTACTGTTTCACTTTAATTGTGTTGATTATAATTTTTACCGCAAATATTAATTAAGTCTTGATCTTTTGAAATTTCGACTTTAGTTGAATTTTTAGTCCAATCGACAAATTCTTAATCGTATTTAACTTTTTTAATATTAGCACCTATTCGCTATTCGTGTGATATATTTACTATAAAAGCTAATTTGATATCTGGAGCCTTTTTTATATTTCTTGTCAAGTTTTATTGGTTGACAAGAACAATCTTTTCTATAAACTTTCACACAAGTTAAATATGCTAAACATGTTGACATTATAATAATAAAATTATTTGTACTTAGAACAGGTATTTATGTATGGTAATTTTTGAAATTGGACCAAAAATGTAATTTAGATATAGATATTATATCAATATTACAGTAAATAAAAATTGAATGAATTCAAAAACATATTTAATTTATAATGAAGATATTATATCAATATTACAGTAAATTAAAATTGAATGAATTCAAAAATATATTTTTACATACCAAAAAAATTACTGGCCGAAAATTTTTTTTGGCTAATTTTTTATAGATATCCCAGGAATAATGAAAACAGCTATAAGCAAATTATCTACTTTTTGCTGCTTTTCATCTAATTTACTTTCTGCCCTTATTAGAACATCTAGCAATTGTGAATAGTAATTTTTAGCACGGGTTTGTAAACTAGCTACTTCTATCTGAGCTTGTGTATTTTGCAAACTTTGCTTGTTGTGCTTACTTACAAATTGGTTATATTCACCTACTAATTCAATGTGACAATCACAACTGTTTACTATATCAAAAATGTCTGATAAATGATTATGCAAAGTACTTTGGTTAATTATATTTATCATTTTTATGGTTTGTATTTGCATAATAAAAATTTTTTACTTATTTTGTTTCAATTTCAAAATTTTGATACACAAATAAGGTTTTTTAACCTTTTATTTATTTCTGAAATACAATATTTTTTTTTAATTCTTCAAAATTTATATTCATTTATTTCAATTTATTGTTTAAAATTGATTATTTATCCTTGTCATTAAAGATAGAAACAAGATAAGAACGTGTTTTTCTTTTATTAAAAAACAAGTAAATATTTAACGAATCTTGATTAAGTGTTAAAAGAGAATTTGAGTGAAAAATAAAGGAAGTGCTAATACCAAAATAATATACTATTTCTTGTGGCTTTA